GAAAATTTTATCAATGGTATGTGATCCTCCCAGCTACCTCTAAAATCTAAAACTCATAATCTCAATAGATCTTCCAGTACTTGAATGGTTCTTCAGACTGACAATCAATCTGAGAATGAAAAGCTATACTTAAGTGCAAATTTGTGCCCAAACTTTTGTGAATGCTTATCCATAGCCTAGAAGTGAATCTACCATTTCAATCTGAAATGATAACTTTTTGAATGTCACGCAATCTGACAATCTCTTTCAAATACAAGCATGCCAATTTGTCTACTACATTCATTTGATTGATAGGTAAAATGTGAGCTGATTTTGTCAGTATATGAATAATCACATAATTGTTGTCACGTCCCTATCTAGATATGAGAAATCATCATATAACAAAATCCATTACAATTTCTTCCCACTTCCACTCAAGGATAAGTAGTGATTGCATTAATCCACTAAGTCGTTGATTTTTAGCTTTCATAATTTGGCATGCTTCACACTTGGTTATATATTCAACAACAAATTTCTTCGTACATGCCCGCTAGAATATTAATTTCAAATTTTTATACAACTTGGTACTTCCTGGGTAAATTATGTAGCTAAAATGATGACCTTCTTGAAAATTTTTCTTTCTCAAGTCCAATTCGATGGATACCCACAACTGGAATTTGTGCCTAATAATTCCATCATCAGAAAGATCTGGTTTTTTCCTAACTGAGCCTGCTCCATCAATTTTGAATATTCACTACTAAACTTTTTCCTAATTGAGCCTGCTCCATCAATTTTGAATATTCACTACTAAACTTTTAAGTTTCTTTGATACAATCTGTTAAAGTGGGCTTTATTGCAATCTAATGAAAATATTCCACGTTTTTGAAATCTCTAATCTCCAATTGCAAATTTTTCATTTTCTTAATCAATTGAACCTCTTGAGAAATCATCAAGTTCATTATTCTTATAGATTTGCGACTCAAAGCATCAGCCACAATTATAGCTTTCCAGGACAATACTGAATATCCACATTATAATCATTGATAAGTTCCAACCATCTTCTCTGTCTCAGATTTAGTTCTTTCTATGAAAATATATATCTTAAGCTCTGATGATCAGTAAAAATTTCACGTCTTATCCCATGCAGATAATGTCTCCAAATCTTCAAAGCAACTACCACTGTAGTCAACTCTAAATCATGAGTGGGATAATTTCTTTCATGAGGCTTCATTTATCTCGATGCATATGAATCACCTTTCTATTTTACATTAGAACACATCCCAAACCCTTCAAAGAAGCATCACTGTAAATTAGAAATCCTTTTATTCCTGAGGGAAGTGTCAATAATCGTGTTGTGGTAAAATGCATCATCAATGTCTGAAAGCTTTTCTCAAATTCAGCAGTCCACTAAAAATTAACATCCTTTCTTATCAACTTGGACAAAGGCAAAGCAATTTGTGAAAATCCTTTAACAAATCATCTGTAGTATCCTACCAATCCTAAAAAGCTATGAACCTCTATAACATTCTTTGGTGTAAGCCATTTCACAATTGTTTTTACTTTATGTGAGTTACTCAAATTCCTTCACCGCTGATATTATGCCTCAAGATGGAAGTATTTCTTAGCCAAAATTCACATTTTGAATATTTTGCATGCAACTGATTTTTTCTCAATGCTTCCAAAACTTTCTCTAAATATTCAACATGCTCCTCATCAATCCTTGAGTATATCAAAATGTCATCAATAAAAATAATCACAAACTTATCTATGTAGTCTTTAAAAATATAATTCATCATATCCATAAAGATAGCATGAGCATTTGTTAACCCAAATAGCATGACTCTAAACTCAAAATGATCATACCTCGTCTCAAAAGTCGTCTTACTGACATCTGCTTCTTTAACTCTCACTTGATGATATCATAATCTTAAATCAATTCAGGAAAACAATGTGCCACCTGCTAACTGATCAAACAAATCATCTATGTGGAGTAGTAGATATTTGTTCTTGAAAGTCACTTTGTTCGGCTCTCTATAGTCAATAAATATTCTCATGGATCCATACTTCTTCTTAACAAAAAGTACAGGTGCACACCAAGATGAATGGCTAGCCCTGATAAATCCCTTATCCATTAATTCTTGTAATTGATTTTTTAACTCCTGCAATTCCTTTAAGGCCATCCTGTAAGGAGACTTGTAGATTGTTAATGTTCCTGGTTGCAATTCTATACTAAATTCAGCATCTCTTTCACCTAGTAATCAAGGTAATTCTTCAAGAAATATGTTTAAAAATTCAAAGACAATTAGAACATTTTGTAATGCCTAAACATCTTTATTTAAGACCTTTATTTTAGCTAAGAACACTAATTCACCCCTCCTTAAATATTTACCCATCTTCACTGCGCTAACTAGAGAAGATGTTTCATTCTTCTCATATGAAAAATAAAATGTCTTCTTATTTGATTAAATTTTATTCTCTTCTTCCAACATTCAATTGTACCAAAATGTTTAACTAACCAATCCATTCCCAATATGATGTCAAACATTTTAATAAGCACTATAATCAATTCTATTGAAAATTTGTGACCTTGAATATCCAAATTCATAAGACACATCTTATTGGAAGGCAAATTATCCCCCGTTGGCATCATAACACACAAGATAGGTTTAAAATATGCAGTCTCAACATATAAATCAAAACAAAATTCTTCGAAAATAATCCCTCTTCCTAACTACTACTAGTGGGCCCCACCCTAGCATTGGCTGCAAAATCATATACTTGGAACCAGCTTTGGTCCGCCTCTTGTAGATTTGAACCGGCCCCTTTGCAAGAACCAGTTGGACCAGTACAATAGGGACCGGTCTAACAAATCTCTAGCATCTCTTACATGTAGTTTATCCAATTAATTGATGTCATTCGAGCTGATAGAAAGTGATGAAGGGATAAAATGACCTCCTAGATGATTGTAAGGTTTCACATAGGAGAGAACTTTCCCTCCCACATTCCCAAAGAAATAAAGCAGAATTTTCCAACTAACTGGTTTGTGCAGTCCTCGAGGCCTTCAACCTCAAACGCCACATTTACATGAAACATTATATAATAGTGACTTATATAAAAACTCAAGAATAAGGACAGAAGCAGATGCTGCTTGATGCCGTTGGAGCACTGCATTACTGCATTAGTTGCTTATGCATACGAGTGCTGGAATGTTTAAGAATGCAGACAGATTCCTGGGCTTCGTGAATGACATTAAGCTTTCAGTTCAAATCTTTAACAGGTTGGCCAAAAGTGCAAGTAATTACATGGGTTCACACGCTAGACAACATTACTAACTTTGACAAACTCCAATCATGCAGTTTGGTTAAAGTTTGAAATTTTACAAACAAAAATAATTGAATCTTAAGTAAAGGTAAGATGCTTAATTTACGAAGAAACCTGAGGAAATTAAAATGAGCCAACAAGCTCATTTAGAAACAACAAATTTATCTGCACCATAGTCAAACTTAAGCTCAACTACAATTGCCTCAAACAGTACTTACATTAACCAAATTAAACTTGAACTGCAAAAAATTTAACTTCTCTCATTTATTTCTTGATGCAATCAAAAAATATAGGGGAGCCTATATTTTTTTATCACAAAAAGAAAATTGACTTCCTATATAAAAGAAGACACAAAATACCTCAAAAGAAGAGATAACTTAGAGATAATAGAACAACTCTTACATTTCATATAAACGAACACTTTTATAAATAAAGACTCTTACAAACTTGACTTTCAACATAATATGACATTACAACCCTTAACTCTTACAAATGACTCAAACAAAATGACACCCTAAACTTGCTTACTTTGAGAAGAAAGATACAGATGGAGTGGCACTTGCGGAGAGACGAAAGAGGTTAGAAGCCAAGACGAAAGGTTGGAAAGAGCTCGCAAGATTTCCGGAGGGGATGAGAAGAAGAAGTGGACAAAGCTCGCAGGCTTTTCCAATGAAACCCGCAGGTTTACATTTCCAAAAATCACATCACATAACATATCTAAAACAGCCACAAACAACTCCTATTTATAGACACAAAAGGAATACAAACAGCCACTAAAACTTAATTAAAAGCTAATTAAAATAGGAAGATAGAAGGCCAAAAGACACATAAAAACTGCAGTAAAAAACTGCATAGAAATCAGCTAAAGTCTCTTGGAATTCCTCCCAAAACAGCCACCAAATCAGTCCCAAAAACTGTCCAAATTCTGTCCAAAAACAGCCCCAAAATCTCTTCAAACAATAGCCCAACATTGCACAGGAAACATGGCATTAAATCCACGGGAAGAGCCCCCTGGCTGCTTCGGGAAAACAGCCCAGCTAGGGAACCGAAAACAGCACAGGAAACAAGAGGTTAAGGCACGGGAAAACAAGAGCCAGCCGCAGGAAACCAAGAGCCAAGACTCGGGAACCCAGCAGCCATTCACGAGAACCAAAGGGTCAAGCCGCGGGAACAAAGGAGCCATCCACATGAACCAAAGGGACAACACATGGGGGAATAACCATCAATTTATGAGCTAAATAAGGTTCTCTACTAGACATTAATGAGCTGAATCTAGTAGAGGACCCAAAATTCACCAAAATAAAATCTAAGTTGTTTTGACCCCCCCCCCCTTTGTATGCATCATTTCTGCACTTCAACCTAGTAATTACGAATACATATTTTGTTAAATAAAGACGTTAATTCATCATCATCACCTAAACTATTAGAAATCAACATTATGAATTCCCATATTCCATAAGTATTACCTGAAGTTTTAAATTTATTCTTCATAAATCAGTTTGCCTTAGATGTTAATTGATAAATAGAAAATTTCCTTTACCCGAAGCGTGTCATTAATTGCGTGTAATTTTAAATAGAACAATACCATATTGAATGATTCACAAGCAATGATGTGTAGCAATAAATAAATTAATGTATTAAAATTAAAAGGAAATTGGTAATGAAATAAAGGAAACAATAATTTCCATCAATTGGCCTACCTCTCCAATAACAATGCAATCTGCTGTGAAAAAATTAGGGAAGGACCAGGGAAGACTTGTTCCAATAATTCCCAATGTTAATCCAGCAATTGCTCCTATTATAACAAGTGACTTTAATAATATCCTTGCCTATATAAAACTCAAAATGATTCAGCATAATTCAGAGAAAGCAAAGAATTATCATATATATTAATTTTTTAATAAATATTCAGAGATAAAGCTATATCACTTAAGACGAACTGAATAATATTGCAGTACAGTGACAAATTTCAATTTGTGTATCGCACAGGAAAGCTGTCTTATATATTATTCACTAGAAAACCCTATATTAAATGGAGTGAGTATAAAATTCCAAGGAACAACTAAATAAACATACACCGTATATAACTTCAACATGCTTCTCAAGGTGATAAATATCTATCAACTAAACCAACTTCTTATATGCGTTTGAACTGCAAGTCCTAAATTTATTTATATAATATGCATTCTTTGAAGAAAGAAAACATAGAGTAGTGCATGTAGCTTTCCTTTTCGGTACTAGTACTAGTTTTGTTCTCTCTTGTTTCAGTACTCGTTTTACTCTTTTAGTACTAACTTTGTTTACCACCCTGCGCAAACTTTTATTTACTTGTTTGCAGGCGTCCGTAGCTAGGAGTTGCAAGTGCTGGCTTGTGCAGCAGGTTTTGCCAAGAACGGGAGTTTGCACGGAGTTGGGTTTAGGTTTGCTTAGAGTTTTTGGAGCTTTCATTATTTTATTGTTTTAGTTTTAGAAGTTCGAGTTTTTAGTGGGTGTGCGTTGTACTTAGGTTTATTAGTGGAAACATTCATTTTATGTTTTCTTTTATTTTTGTTAAATTTTGTTTTAATTTATTAGGGTAATTAATTAAATAAAATTTTAATTAAAGTTTAAATTTTAATTTAAAATTGACTGTTCAGCTCATTAATTAATTTTAAATTGTATATATATTTTAAAATTATTCAATTAAATACATTGATTAATTGGTCTTTTAATTTTATTTTAATTTAAACAATTAAGTTTAGATTTCATTTTTTTATTAATTCATTAGTTAAATTATTTGAATTTAAATTTTATTTTAAAATAAGTTAATTAGTTATTTAATTAGATTTGTTTTAAAACAATTATTAAAAGATTTAATTTTAAATAAAATTAGTTTAACTAAATGTATTTTGAATTTATTTTTAAATTTTTTAATTAATTTTGTATATTAGTCAATTAGAAGTTTTAATTTTAAATTAATTAAACCTACTCGACTTTCCAATTCTACATTCTCTCAGCGCAATTTTGGCAGCCTCCCAGTGCCCACTCCCTACAAAAAGAGGTTGGGGAGGGCACTTGCCCTTTTAGGTTAACTCGGCCGGATCAAATTTACGGCTAAGGGTTTTGGGGTACATATCAACCCTTGAATAAGTCTTCTGATATTCTAAGTTGATGATTGCAATATTTCGACATTTTTATGAGATTTCGGAAGTCTTTCTGCACCCCCTCCCCACGAGGGAAGGTTGGGGAGGGCACTTGCCCTTTGGCCACTCGGCACTCGGCTAAATTGAAACAACAGTCGAGGGCTTTGGGGGACAGATCAACCCCGAAATAGGTCTTCTGATGCTCCAATTTGTTGATAGCAAAATTTTGGCATTTTTCTCGAGATTTCAGTAGCCTTTTAGCGTCCCCAACCCATGAGGGGAGGTTGCGGAGGGCACTTGACCTTTGGGTCCACTCGACCTAATAGAATCAAAAAACTGAGGGCTTAAGAGGACATATTAACCTTGGAATAGGTCTTTTGATGCTCCAATTTGGTGATCGCGATATTTCTACATATTTTCGAGATTTCGGCAGCCTTTCAACTCCCACTCCACCGAAGGGGAGGGGGGAGGGCAGTTGCCATTTACGTTCACTCAGCTAGATCGAATCAACAGTCGGGGTTTCGATGGACATATCAACCCAGGAATAGGTCTTCTGATGCTCTAATTTAATGATCATAGTATTTTGACATTTTTCGCCCTCTTTTTTTATTATTATAGAAATAATCCCTCCTCTTAACTCACACTCACAATTTCAAAAGACGGATAAAATGAACAGTAGGTCAGGGGACATAAGAGGTCAGACGAGTTTGTCAAGCACAGAAGAACGGACGTGCAAGAGGTTTTCTTACAGGTCAAAGCAAGGGTCAGGGCAAACCAGAATCACTCAGGCGAGGTTGTGCTTGATTCGGCATCTAAGTGCGGGTCATTCATGCAAACTTGGAGGACGACGCCGGTGTGAGGGTTGGGTTCAGTTCCGCGCGGAAAGCTTCGGGCGAAATTGAAGGCAGGCGGGTGGCTTCGATTCCTCCAAAAGGGCTAGATCGAGTGGCTTGGGATCAGTCAAAGAGGAGGACCGGCTTTGGATCGGAGCAGGCAAAGGTGATTGATGGCTTCCGCTCAGTGCGTGAGCCACCGGAGTCGAACACGGGCGCAGGTGATGTCGCTATTCGCAGCACATAGAGTCGTCTTCTTGTGAAAAAGTACGAGAACAAAACAATTCGGCCTAAAAGAACGTAAGCGCCAATTTTCCATTTCTTCCTTCGTGCCTTTTTACACGAATTCAGCAGCAATTATCTTTAGAACATGGACAACATGGTTTCAGTTATTCCTTCATCTGTCTTCCCATATTTTTTATTATAAATTAAAATATGAATGCTTTATTTTGACACTACAAATGCCTTTAAACATGATATAATTCTTGCATTTCCAAAAAAATTGGTTTGTTAAAAGCTTATTTATTCTGACAATTATATTCCATCGTCTTTTAATAATGAGTTGACATGTAGTATATAAAAAGAACTGTTAAAAGCTCCTTATTTATTAGCAAGCCGATGAGTTCTTTATACAAGTCTGCTAGATTGGCAGTCATCACATTTTAGCACCGTCAATTGACAATACTTCTGCAAAAAAATCTTCACTGTAATTGTTGTTGCCCTTTGTAAGTGGAATAAAATCCTGTGTTGATATTGATAGGAATCTTCCAATTATTAAATGAACTGACTTCAGCTAAATGTGTGCTTCAAGAAAACCCCACACAAGTTCTTAATGTCCCATTTATCCCTTTAGGAGTACCAATGTGTATTATTATTATACACAGATTTTTTGTATTATTATTTCAACATTAGTTTTAAGTCTTTGCATGATATTTACGTAGGTGTTTTTAGGTCAGATGAGTTAGGTCCATGGGAAGATTTCTAATACATATTTATGCATGTAGAATATGTTATGTTACCGATATACTCACATAACAAAGCATGTTAAAATTATTATGTGTCCTTTTAATAAGCTATGTAACTCTATCATTAAATTATATCAATTGTAATTTAATTTTCGAGACACAATTCATTTCTACCACAAGTTCTATATGTTGATTTGTATGCTAGCAAAGAATTGTCCTAACCCTCAATATTTTTATAACATATTGGCATTTGTTATTACATCATTTAAGAATTATTTAAATAATTTTAATATTTAATATGTTATTTAAAACTTGAACCGCTACTTCTTCTTCTCTAATATTCAATCTAGTTTTTTGAACCTGGAAAAAAAGTGTTAGACCCCAAAAAATGGGCCAACCATCAAAGACACAACTGCCAAAATCTAAGATTAGTAGAATGCTCACAAACTAAAAGCAATATAAGCTTAAATTTCCCCCTCTAACTGTGCAACTCTTTTGGAAAACGAGCAACCATTTATTTTAAAATTCATAACCACTAATTCAAGTACAAATTAATCTTTTTCAATATTCTCCAGAGGGCCACTCTACCTACAAGGCAGAGATAAGTCTTCGTTTTCTTAAGTCTGACCTTTTACGCCTCCAAGGATTAGTTGACCAAGATTTTATCCCTTGACGGATTATCACAACACCAATTAAAAGAGGATTTTCTATTTTTTTTATTTTCTTCCTAATCAAGCAAGTTGGCACTTAAATACCTTATCATGGATCTCATTAAATAATTTAATTTTATGTTTGCAAAAGGCCTACAAAGCCTTCAACAAACAAAATTCATTTTCAACATACAAACACTCCGGACCATGTCGCCCACACCATAGCCCATAAGTGCAATTTTCAGACTCAATCCTATACAAATGTGGGCAATCTACAAGATTTGTAATACAATAAAAGTTTAAATAAATTGAAGCATGTAAACTTCTAAACTTAATCAATTATCTATGTAGAGGGGCTAAGAAAAGGGAAGCTTCTCTTTACTTAAGAGAGTTTGTAAAGGATTTTAATGTGTTTTTGTTGGGATTGTGGAAACCAAAATTTCTTCTATCAATAGGGTGGAATTCAACAAGTTGATGGGGGAGGATTGGGATTTTTTTCTTTTACATTCGGAAGGATTGTTAGGTGGTATCTTGGCTTGTTGGAGATCTGATTTATCTTCTCTCGGTTGTGGAAGTATCGTCTCAATTTGTTATGGATAAATTTAATATTTATAACAGAGTTTGGTTGGTTTCGACAGTGTAAGGTAGCAAGGATGTATATAAGAGGAGATGTTTGTGGAGTAGCTTAGATTTGTATTATTACAGAGACATTCCTTCGATTGTGGGTGGAAACTTTAATTATATTTTGTCTCAAGAAGATAAAGAGGTGGAAAAAATATGTTCTCTCAAGGAACAAAGGAAATGAAAATGTTCATGAGTAACAACGATTATCATGATGTTGTTGTGGTTGGGTCTAAATTCACTTGGTGCAATAATAAGAATGGTGGTGCTTGTATTTTGGAAAGACTTGATAGATGTCTATTAAATTCTTCGTCTTTAAATGTTGTTCCTTTAGTGGCGGTGAGGCATTTAGCTAGAGTGGACTCGAACCACTGTCCTATAGTTTTGAAGGTGTTCAATGACGGTTTTCGTCATAAGAGAATCCTGAGATTTGAAAATATGTGGGCTTATTTTTATGCTTCCTCTGTTATTGTCTTTAGATCTTGGAATAAGCAAGTTGAAGGTGATGCGGATCAGGTTTTGAATAAGAAGTTTAAAAGAACACTTAAAGGATTTATTCTATTGGAGTAGATCTAAATTTCAGAATTTTAATGTGTTGAAAGAAACTCTTAAAAAGGAGGTGTTGAAATTGCAAGAGGAAGAAGCTATCTGGGTTTATCTGAGGAAAAACATTTTTTGCTTAGATCAAAGGTACATGAGTTGAACTTATTGCTTTCTCGGTTAAGTACTTGTGGAGACAAAGGGCTAAAGTTAAGTGGATGAAAGATGGAGATTCAAAACATCAATGGTGTGTTGGTTGAAGATCAGGAGGGTATGGAAGGAGTTTTTCTAATTTTTTTCAAAGATAAATGGAGAGAGAGGAATTGTGTTCTCAACGGGTGGTCATCTCTCTTGAGTATCCTTAAATACATGGATAGAAGACTATTACAATCCGAATTTACTAAGGAGGAGCCCATTAAGGTGATTAAGCATCTTAGGAGTAATAAATCATCTGGCATTGATGGAATCACTTATTCTTTCGTCAAATTCTATTGGAGCATTATTGGTGAAGATGTTTGGAAGGCCATCAACTTATTTTTTTACGGCAGGTAAAATGTGTTCATCTTGGAAAGAAACTCTTATTATTCTTAATCCAAAAGTTAGTAATCCAATGGCCCCTTCTAATTATCATCCTATCAGCCTTTGCTTGTCTATTTATAAAATTGTTGCAAGAATGTTGCTTAATAGATTAACCATGGTGATTCCTAAACTCATTTCTAAAGACCAAGCAACTTTTGTTAAATATCTTATCATATTTTTTTGGCTCAAGAGGCTTTTAATAAGTTTAAAGTCTCTAAATCTAAAAAAGGATTGATGGCTATTAAAATTGATATAGAACAAGCATATGATAGTATGCGTTGGTCAGCCTTAAGATAATTGTTGGATAATTTCATTTTTCCGATGAAGTTCTAAAATACTTTGATGGAATGTGTTCTGGATCCAAAATTTTCCACTTTGATTAATGGCAAATATTCAGATTGGATTGAAGGAGTGGACTTAGACAGGGTTGTCCGTTGTCTCCTTATTTATTCATTTTGTGTTCTCAACTTTTATCTAGTGCATTTTTTCACAAAGGAATCTCGAGATCAAAATTGCTCAAAAGGCTCAAAAGACTTCTCATCTTTTATATGATGATGATCTCCTTATTTTTTTGGAAGCCAAATTTAGGAGTGTTAAGAAGGTGAAAGTGATAATCAATAAGTATTGCAAGTGGTCTGGTCAGAACATTAATTTGCAAAAATCCTTTATCTTGTTTGGCAAGTCGGTGGGAAGGAAGAGGAAGAAATGTATTTCCAAGTTGTTGGGTTTCAAGGTGGTTAATGAGATCAATTATTATGGAGTGAAGATTGCTTTGAGAAGGCTTGTGGTTTTTAATTTTCATAATTTAATGGAGAAGGCCTTGAATAGATTGAATGCTTGGGGAAACTAATTTATTTCTCTAGCAGGGAAGCTTGTTCTTATCAAAGTTGTTTTTTTGTCTCTTCCCATACTTCTCTCTTCTCACTCTTTAGTTCCTATGGGACTTTTATATGAATTTGATAAATTGTGTAGAAATATCATTTGGCATAAGCAAGTGGTAATCAAGGACATCATTATGTTGCTTGGGACGTATTGTGTGAGCCAAAAAAACAGGGGAGGTCGTGGGCTATTTTCAGCTCGAGCATTAGTTGGTCCATTGCGTACGAAGTTTGCATGAACGGATTCTATTTTCAATAGGAATCTAATTGCAAAATATGGAAAAATTTTATGGGATTACGAAGTTAGAAGAGGGTGTTCTTCAATGTGGAAAATTCTTGTTAATGGTGCAAAGTATCAGTGTCCAATTGTAAGGTGGAAGGTTTCAAATGAAAATTCTATCAATATACTTAGGGATGTGTGGATTCTTAATAGAAGCTTGGAAAATGGCCAACATTTATTGGAGGTGTGAGAGCGGTTGGGTTTTCTCTTGATAGCTTGATTTTAGATGGTAGATGGAATGAGGTGCAGCTGGATAAAGTTTTTGGCAAAGAATTGTATGATCTTATCAAGCAGATCCATATCAATTCGGATTTGAAACAAGACTAGATAGAGCTAAAGGTGAAAGCATCTGGGAAAACGATTACTTCTCTGGCAGCTAAAGCATCGACTGAAGACTATGAGGATGTTAATTACTGGAAATGGATTAAGAGACAGTTGTTGTTACAGCGTGTAGAATTTTTCTAATGGTGTTTGTTTAATGATGTCATTCCCTGTAATGATTTCTTAATGTACTATAGACAATTTATGAATTATAATGGGTGCCCAAGAAGTTGTTTGTCTATTGAAAATGTGGATCACATAGTGCTGGTTGTTCAAAACTTAGTCAAGTGATACAATATCTGAATATATAGGGTTTCGGAGTGTCATCTTTCTCTTCTTTTGTGAATTGTTGTGTACAGTTAGAACAGCTTTCTATTTCTACTCCTTTTATTGCAAACATATATATACACGGGTTTTCTTTTCATGGAAAAGTAGGAATAAACTAAAGCATGGTGAAGGTGAACATTGTCCGGTTTTCATTGCTGCAAACGTTATTACTATTGCTTCTTCTTCATTCCTGAGTTCGAAAAAGTGGGGTGCTAATCAGCTTTCTCAGTTGTCATGTAATTCTTGGCACCCTCCTCCTCCCAAATGGATTAAGTGAACATTAATGCATCTTTGTTAAAATCTAATAGAGCTGGCATTGGTGGTATGTTCATTAGACCATAAAGGCAGATTTTTACTTACTTTTGGCTTCAGTAGCTTACATTGGGATATTGCTCAGTTGGAGATGATGGTTATCATTGCTTTGAAAAAAGTAATAAATGATTGGATGTTTGAATCCAGAGGAATAATAATTAAAGGGGATAATTACAATATTATCAAACTTCTTCAAAGGTCTTTTGTTAAGGCTAATCGGAATTCTCTTCAAGTAGTCGATGAGGACTTCTTTTTTTAAAGGAGTTCAATCAAGTATTGTTTCATTTTTCTAATCGTAATTGTAATAAGTTAGCGGATTTATGTGCTAACTATGCTATTTTTAGTGATTTCATTTGGGATGATGTTAGTAGCAATAATATTCCTCCTTTGTTTCTTTGTTAAAGGAGGAATGTGATAGTTTAGCTATCACTTAATAGTTTGTAATACTTTTTTTATTATTAATGCTAACTGCATTTCTTTTCAAAAAAAAAATCATTTATATATGCAGGTAGAGTCAATAAGGTCTATAATACAATGAAGCTTAAAATGAATTCACATGACAGGCACATCATGAACTCGATCATTTATAATCAAGAAGAGTTGATAAAATTCAAAGAGACAAAGTTCAATCAAGTACACCTATGATGGGCATGTCAAGTGTACATCATAACCGGAAGGGTATATTTTATTTTACACATGTGACTGAGTAAAGTTTAGTTTCCTTCATATTCTACTTTAAGCATTTAAAGTGCATGCATTTAACAAATGAAATAACAAAAAAATCCTTTAAATAATAAGCAATAAGAAGTATTTAAACAAGAGCTTCACTAATAACTACTACCCCATTGGGAAAAAAAAAGTTGTCAAGTTTATTAAAACTTCAGAATTGGCATATGCAACAAAACAGAAGATTTACAGGATCAGTATAAATCGGAATAAGTGTTTTTCATTCCTAACCAAGTGTCATTTAGATTATTAAATGTTTAATGGATGTTAACTTCACCAGTAATATGAATGATTGATATATTAGGACATCCAAAAAAATAATCTATATATATTTCTTTAAACAAAAGTTATAGATAGCAGAAATAATATAATAACGCAAGTTCAAGCAACTTTTAAAGCACAATTACTTGCCCTAAATAAGCTGCGATTGACACCATGAATCAATTCTGGCATAAATGACTGTGCGCTTTGTGAAAGAGGCTCTCCCCATACAGTACACATACAAAAGATATTGACCATAACCTGAAATTAGAGGACAATCTAACAATAAAAGGAAAATAAACTAGCTTAAATTGTCCTGTATCGGAAAAATATACAAACCTGATGAGCAGCGACAGTTATTGTTCCCATTGATGTAGCAAAATATGTAAGGAGTGAATAGAAGGCCACCTGAAGATGACATGTCTTAGCAAAAATATAAAACAAAAATAGCACAAAAATAACATATCAAAGCAGCTTCAGACCTTCGCTGTCATTGTTGCAAATACAGGGGCAGCTATCTCATAAACCTGAAGAAAATCACTCTGTGATGGAATGGATATTGAGAATACTCTAAAGCCGGTTTTATTTAATGATGTCACCATCATGAAAGCTGCAATAACCTAGCAGACACATTCATAAAGAAGCCAACATTAATGAAGCCACCAGCAGCATATTCTAGATTTAGTATCTGTAAAAACAAATTTAACCAACAGCACATCTCATTCAATGCGCTTCATATATACATAAATCATTTTGTGGGCTCTAAAACTTCACGCCGAGCTCTTTTGAGAAAGTTTGTAAGATATGAGTAAAATTTTCAAAAGCCAGATTAGATTGCAGATAGCATACTATCCAAAGATTTCACCCTTATTTTGCAAGAATTTTATGATCTGATTTTTTATTTTCAATAGTTCCATAGCTCAATAATAAATTACCTCACTCGATGACAAGAGAGAACTTTGTATTAAAGCAAGTTAATAGGTGTCAAGTACTTAACATAAAGTAACAGTATTTTATGCTATCATTTAGCATCAAAACAACCTGTTAAAGAACATGTGTTACATCGTTACTAACATAAGATCTATTGAGAGTGATCATAGCAATATGCTCGATAAGACATTAACTTTCTGTAAACAACAAGTAACCTTAAATTTACTGCCCCTTCAAATTATTGAAGAACATGGATAAATTATTAGGTTAAGGTTTAAGACAATAAATTTTACTTAAAATATTTTTAAATTATATATTTTTGGGATTTTTTGAGCATATTGAAATTTGGACCTGCGGTGTTTATTTCAAGATTTAGGTGCATTTTCGTGATATTATCCACCTATAGTCGAGATTTATTATCAACATGATCATCAATGGGTATAATTGTTTGTATTATTTGGATTGGTGAGTTTAATTTAAAAAATTGGACCCTTCTGATTATGATATACCATGAGCATGCGCATCTATAGGGTAATTGAATGATTGGAATCAAGGTTTAAAATTGTGCAATTGGGTTTTAATGCGTTTTTCGTTCGTGAGGCGAGGTGTAGGCCTCAAATTTTAAAAATTGCGTAAAATCAAAATAAAAATCAAAATTAATTGTTTATATATAATATTCAAATAATACGTTAAAGGATGACATATTAACATTCTATTGAACTATAAAGTAATAAATTTACATACATATGAAATAAAAAATTTTATAAGATGTAAAATGTTAAGTGATAAATTATGTAAAATAGAATTGAAATTCAAATATTATAGGAACAAAACAAAATAAAATATATGAATTGTATAAAAGTATTATAGAACATCAATTTCAACGCTAGTTTTTTTCTATCTCAATTACCTGCTCATCTACGTTTAATTCCAAAAGAAAGCTGAAATAATTAGCAATAACTCAAAAATTATTTGTACTATCATTATTAAGGAGATTTTTATTTGAGTCAATGTCATAACAAATTGGTCTTTTCCCTGCCTCATCCTATAGGGTCCAATATCTCTCAATATGTTTCTTCTTTATTTATTTCAGTCATCTTCATATTTCATAAATATTTGTCATAAACATAAAGATAATACTCTAAAATTTTAAGAGATGGTGGCGGCATGCGGCATTCTAGTGATCCCCTGAGGCAGCTACAACGGTGGTGGCAAAAGTGAAGGCGGTGGGCTAGAGATCGAGGCAATTGTGAGGAATTTGTTGCGGCTTGGGGGTGCAAGAAGACATGATTTTTTGTAGGCTTTGGTATAGGATTTATGTGAGTTTTAAATTAAAACTTACATAAATAAAGTGAGACGTACGCCTCATGCCAGTGAGGCGAGGCGCGCCTTAAGGCGGGCCTCATCCAAGATTAGGCGTAAGCCTCGTAAAAAAGCTTGAGCCGTACGTGTACACCTAGAGGCATTTTTTACTGGAATTGCGCTGAGGCGGGCATCAAGGCGAGCCTCATATTGCACAATTTTAAATAATGATTGGAATTTATTATATTAAATCTTATAAACTCTAACCGGTTGATCGCAGAGGATTAGGTTCACAAAGTTCAAGTTGTATCAATTTAAATCTTTGTGATGTGGAAGACCGATCTTAAAATGAGGGACTTACAACCTTGCCCTATAGACAAGGTGGCCCACCAAAAGCATCATGTAAGGATAAGTTTGATTTTTAAAAGACAGTTGACAAAATTTTTAGAGTAATTACACACTTATTTTTCTAAGGCAATTACATGCTTTTTGAAGTAGGATAAGTTTAAACTCAATTTATTTTCAGTCAAAATAGCATTCTTAAGTTTTTAAGCTTACAATTTCAACAAGTTTGTCAAAGCATATGCAGAATATTGACTTCAGTAATTTAATGTGTTCTTTAGAGATCACGTATAATTTTTAATGCACTTCAATGATGCGCTTGTAGACTTCTTGAGTCGCACATTTTAGTTCATGGTAGAATAAACACATGTTAGCTAACATCCTTTTCAAAGAAAACTAAATTCAAGCTTTTAAAGTTCAATTCGGGTTCTCAGAGCTACTTGAACTGCCCAATGCACTCTAAGAGAGGGGTGAATTGATGTGTTAAAAAAAATTTTCAAAAATCTTTTTTTTTTAAGTTTAAACCAAATTCATAATTTAAGCTCAAAATCAGATCTTGAAATGCATAAGCTAATTATATAAAAAATCAAATACTTTTTTTTTGTAGAAAAATAAATATGAAAATATATTTTTCTTTGCTTTATATTTTCATATTTTACTTCTTTTTTTCAAACTAAAGTTAAATAAAAAAATAATTTTAATATTCTCGACTCAAATTTGAAAGAAATTAAACGTGCAAGAAATAAAAATATATAAAAAGGAACAAGAACGAGCACACCAGAAATTTATAGTGGTTCGGTCAAGTGTCAACCTTGACCTACATCCACTCCCCGGAATCTTCCTCTGCAGGTATTGCACTAAACTTTTAGTGACTCTCGTATATCTCCTACACCAAGGCAGAAAAGCACTTACAAAATCACTTCCACTCTTCCATAGTGTGGCTAAGAACCTGAATCCTTTCCACCCTCCTAGTGAGGCAGAGAACCTGAAATCTTTTTCACCCTCTTGGTGTGGTAGAGAACCCAACGATATTTGGTCTTGAAGACTTTCTCCCCAGAGCAATCTAAAAGATCAATAAGACACTTGGAGGAACCAAGGTGGAAGTTTTCCTGGAGCAACCGAATAAATCCATTCACACTACTTCTCCCTCTCACACAACTTCTCATTCTCCCTCTCCACAACTCCAAGACCTCTCAAGCACTCTCACAGAAGTCACACAACAGCCAAAGACTTTCACAAAGTCTAATAAGAGAGCTTTAATACAAGTCTTAAAAAAATCCTAAATTCTCAATTATGTCATTTTTGATAATACAGTACGATTAAGTCATTTCAGCTTGTTAGTACTGTACGATGAACATGGGTCTATATGATTAGTTCAAATACTTGAACAACTTGTCCAGTACGATATCAAGAGTCATATAGTACAATCAGTTCAATCGAATAGGATTTTCGTACAGGACGATCAATGGCGATTAATTATTGTCTTGGGAACAAATAATTTCATACAGTATAATGCAGTCCATCATACTGAACTACTGATCGGAAGTAACCTCTATTTAAAATTGCGCAATAAGAGGCGCGCCTCTGCGCAATTCTGTCCAAAAGCGCCTCGAGGCGCACGCAATTTGGACACTGATTGAGGCGTATGCCTCACCCTGTGTGAGGCGCGCCTCAATTGCGCAATTGCGCAATTATGGGTGAGGCGTACGCCTCATCCAAATGGTCTTACCTACTTAAAATCAACCATTAAAAAAGCGGACGAGGCGTCCGCATTGAGTCGTGTATTCGCGTATAGGATTAGGGCTTCCTGTTAGAATTGAAAGGCGAACTAGAGGCGAAGCCGTGAGGGAAATAGACGAAGCTCTGAGGAAAGGAGACGAAGCCGTGAGTGTAGGAGACGAAGTCGGAAGGAGACGACGCAGGGAAAGAAACGAAGTTAAAGTTGTGAGTGCAGGAATCGTTCAGGCATCGGTTAGGTCGGAAGAGCAGGTACGCGGTGTTGTGTTGACTTTGACGTGCAGTAACGAAAGCTTGAATAACTCCTTATTCGGCTTTCTTTCATTCGTCCGCTCAGTACAAGCTTGGTACCGCTCAATACAAGCTCGGTACCGCTCAGTACATGCTCGGTACCGAACCAGTACCGCTCGGTACTGAGCGGTACAAGCTCCGTACTGAGCGGTACATGCTCGGTACTGAGCAATACATGCTCGGTACTGAGCGATACATGCTCGGTACGCTCGGTATTGAGCATATACAATAAACAGAATTTCAAAATTTACTCTTATAATATAATTTTGTTCCCTTGGACCCCCGGCAGACTAGTATATTTTTGTATTCATGTTTTTTTTTATTATTAGTAGTACAAATAATTGTTAAAAAATATGTCATATTGTTAGTACAAGGAATTAGGGATCATGGTTAGAGGCAAGGAAAAGGCGTCTGCGTCATTGCGGAGGGACCCTTCTTGGAAATATAGTGTATAAGTTGACATAGGCGGCGGAGAGAAGAGCTATGTTTATTTGAAATGCAATTTTTGTGAAAACGTGGTGAAGGGAGGTGTTACCCGCATGAAGGAACGCTTATCATGCTCGCATAAAAACGTAGCACCGTGTGCAAATGTGCCGGAAAAGGTAAAGAAGGAAATTATTGCTTATATGAAGAAAGGTACCACGGCAAAACACTTGCAACATGAGCAATTTGATGATAGGGTCGAACATGGAGCTTATTTTGGGAGCGAGAGTGGAAAGGGCTCTTCCTCTACTATACATAACAGAGGTGCACGAGGTCCTATGGATCAGTATATGACTAATCCAGAAGAGGATAGAGGACAAGCACAAATGATGCCTGCGGCCGGTACTAGAGAGGGTCGACGCCAGGTTTGCATGGATATTGGGAGGTTTTTTTTTTTTAAATTCCATACCTTTTAATGTTGCTATGTCGCCTGCCTACTTTAATATGCTGCGGTCTGTAGGGTTGTATGGGAGAGGGTTGAAGGCACCTTCTATGTATGAGTTGCGAACATGAATTTTAAAGGAGCTGATGAACA